TACCTCAAGCATCAACAAAATGGGGGTTTCAAGAATCTTTAGTTAGTTCAAAAACACTAACCCAGGAACCTATCCTTGCAACAAAGCCCGATGACAACTCTGTCCACATATCTATTCAAGTGACACCATCATAGGACCTAATCATATCAGCCATGCCATCAGGGGCTCGTTCACCTGCACATCTACCAATGTGATATATGCCATGATGTGCCAGCAATGCCCCTCTGCCATGTACATTGGCCAAACCGGACAGTCTCTACGCAAAAGAATAAATGGACACAAATATGACATCAGGAATCATAACATTCAAAAACCAGTAGGAGAACACTTCAACCTCTCTGGCCACTCAGTAACAGATTTAAAGGTGGCAATTTTGCAACAGAAAAGCTTGAAAAACAGGCTCCAACGAGAAACTGCTGAACTTGAATTAATATGCAAACTAGATATTATCAACTTAGGCTTAAATAGAGACTGGGAATGGCTGAATCTATTTCCCCATGTTAAGTATCCTCACACCTTGTCAAATTGTCTTAAATGGGCTACCTTGATTATCACCACAAAAGTTTTTTTTCCTCCTGCTGACAATAGCTCATCTTAATTAAATTAGCCACTTAGAGTTTGGTAGGGGAACTCCGACCTTTTCATGTTCTCTGTATGTATATATATCTCCTCACTATGTGTTCCATTCTATGCATCCGATGAAGTCGGCTGTAGCTCACGAAAGCTTATGCTCAAATAAATTTGTTAGTCTCTAAGGTGCCACAAGTACTCCTGTTCTTTTTGCGGATACAGACTAACACGGCTGCGACTCTGAAACATGTTCTTAATAGCTTGTCCTCCCACTCCTTTCCTGGTTCTCCTCCTATCTCTCTAGTTGCTCTCAGTGTTTCATTCACAAGATGGATCCCATTCATCCTCACTCCAGCCCTCACTGCGGTTCCTACAGAGCTCCATTCTTGGCCCCTTTCCTCTTCTCCCTATCTCTGGAGATCTCATTCAATAATATGGTTTTAAGTATCATCTTTTACGGCTGACTCAGGATATGTCTATCCTACAATATAAGCCCAAAATTCAAACTCAGGCTCAACCTAACCACCCCCCTTTACACAAATCACACTAACCCAGAACTCAGATCCAGGGTCTCAGGACCACGCAGAGGTGGCATGTCCAAGCTTGAGTCAAACTGGGACACAGGGATCAAACCCTATTGGTTTGCGGTGTAGACGCAGCCGCGTAGGACTCATGGTCAGAGAGTCTACCGAAAGCATTCCACAATGCCATGGGCTGAGTTTTTGTCCTCTGGACAAAAACTCCCGGGGGGAGGGGGGGAGGGATAGCTCAGTGGTTTGAGCATTGGCCTGCTAAACCCAGGGTTGTGAGCCCAATCCTTGATGGGGCCACTTAGGGATCTGGGGCAAAAATCAGTACTTGGTTCTGCTAGTGAAGGCAGGGAGCTGGACTCGATGACCTTTCAAGGTCCCTTCCAGTTCTAGGAGATAGGACAGTCAAGTTCTTTTCTCATGCTGCATCTGAACAAAGGGCTAAAACAGCTACATTTTGGAAGGCCTCTAGGAAGTCTGGGATATGGGTGGTTGGACTAAGGCCCACGTAATTCCCTATAGACGCTGGGGTCTCAGGTTCAGACCCAGGGTGCAGTAATTCCTAACCTGGGTTACAAATGAGTCTAGATGCTCAAGCCCTAGGTTAGCAGACCCTGGGTATATTAACTTGAGTTCTACTAACTTTGAGCTTTACATTGCAGTGTAGACAGACCCTCAGATCTACCTTTCCACTCCAGACCTCCCTCATTCCTTCCAAACTAAAATTCAAAACTGTCTTTTTGAAAACTCCTTGTGGATATTTAGCTATCAATTTAAGCTCAACATAGCCAAAACTGAGTTCTTGATCTTTCCCCTAAAGCCCTCCCCACTTTCACTGTCACTATGTACAACACTAACATCGTTCCTAACATTGAGGCCCATCGTCTTTGACCCAGCCCCCTCTCTGAACCCACACTTCCAGGCACTGCCTAAATCTTGCTTTTTCCTTCACACACATCTCCTAGATCTGGCCTTTCCTCGCTGTTCACACTGCTAAACCTTGATACAGGTCCTCTTTATCTCACATCTTGTCATTCCAACTTGCTCCTGTCTGTTCTTGACAAAGGTCGCCTTGCCCCCACCCCTTCTTACATCCATTCACCACACTGCTGCAAACACAAAACAAAAAAAAAACATCTTCCTCAATCATTGCATCCCTTCACTGGTTTCCCCTTTTCCACTGCATGACACAAAACAAGTGCAAACTACTTGTCTTCATTTTTAAGACTCCTTGACTTGGCCCTGTGCTAATTATCATCTCTGATATGGAATAGGGCTGTCAGCTCCCACCTACACTCCACTAGTGCTGCCAGCCTTTATCGCCCGTTAGACATACATCAGTTTTCAAACAGTTTTTGTCTGTGTGCAGTACCCACCACAATGGGGATGTGATCCCTGACTGGGACCTCTAGGTGCTATTGCAAATATTAATGGAATAGCATAATGTACAGTGTGCATTTTAAAGTATGTTGTGTGCCTTCTTTATTATATACTGAATTTTCATAGCAGAGAACTCTTTTTCAGCAAGTAACCCTAAGCATCAGTTTCCCTACTGTGCTTCAAATACTCATTTAATAAACTGTATATCTAACATTAAAGTAAAACATTGCACAGTTTCCAGCACTGGATTTATCAGGGGTGATTATCTATAAAACCTTGCAAATCAGAGTGTTTTCTAGAGTGATTTTCTGAGATGCAGAAGGAAGAAAAATTCAGTCTGGAATAGAATTGTGACTGTCCATGGTAACTGGATAGCATGCACTGCAATTTCAGGCATAGAGTGGACTCACTCAGTCTGTTGATTGATTTGTACTGATTCAGCATTTAACACTTTTTTTTACCCGATCACAGAGCAAAATTTTGTCTCCCCATCCCCTCTCCTGAAATGGACTCCAGTGAAGGTTGTTTGCAAGATGTTTGTAGTTAACCCCCGAAAGAACCCTCTGTAAGCAATGTCTTTATGTAGTTGTACCAGCCTCATTTCATGCTTTATTTAAATACTCTACTGTGAAGTCCCAAGATATTTTAAGAATTTGCACAGTTTCAAGGAAAACAAAACACAAGGAAGACTATTTGTATAAGCTCACTGAATGGAAGAGACTGTGAAGTGCCTTTGGCTTATATAAGAATATGTGGATATCTACAGTACAACACAGTTCTCTCAAACAAGCTCTTCCATAAATCTTATGGTTACATATGCATTATTATTCATTTAGAAGGATTAAAATATAATTGACACAAAATATGTATATTGACTAAAACAAATAAGAATATTGGATAAAATCCCGGCCTCATTGAAGTCCATGGCAAACACCACATTGATGTCAGTGAGGTCAGGATTTCACCTACATTATTTGAAATAAGTCACTGCAACCATTCTGCTAGCTTTTAATATAAAATGCATAATCCTTTTTCTTTTATAAAAATACAGGTACAAGTTGAGAAGATTGGTTAATGAGCTAAAACAAATACAATACGTGTATATAGGCTTACTTTAGCACTTAGTTTGGCTCATTTTGTCTGAAGAGAGATGAAAAAAAAAAAAAAAAACCCAAACTACTAACGTGTGTAAGAGTGAGGGCTTTTTAGTGGTTTAATGGATTTTCTTACGTAGTAAAATTCAATAAAACTGGATGGAGGAGAAAGGGATTGTTGGTTCTCTTCTTCTGCAGATATGTATGTCTTCCCTTGCAAATTCTTTATCATCAGTAAGTAACAATGCATGCTTTCCTCACTGGGGTGTTGCAAGGATTAGTCATGGTTTGTAGAGTGCTTTGAAGAGGTAAAGCACCATATCAATACTAAGTCTTATTTAACTCCTATAAATCCTTCACTGAAAAGAAACCCATCGAACTGCAACTCACCCTATGTGTACTGTATGTACAAATACAACTTCCACTGCTCTGCCTATTTTTTGCAATTGACAACAAGTAGTTTGTTGGACATTTAGAAAAATCGATGTCATACTCAGCTTAATCTCCATTTGAAAAAATCTGCAGTTTTCATGTTGGTTTACAGCTATAAAAAGGTGAACTCTACAAATAAATGGGATGCCACAAGCTGCTGCTAGGGACTGAAATATCCAGCACATAGCATGGAAGGCTATCATATTGGCAGTAAAAAAAAAAATGGTACTCTATAGTCAAAGAAATACATCATTTAAAAAACAAATGATTTAAAAATACTTAGATTTCTATCTTTATTCTTTATAAAGGCTTTGAAGCCCTCCATTTGATTCCATAAAATATCAAAAATAGTGTTTGCTAATGAAAATAGAAAGCATCTTTTTTGTTTTTTGCATAAGTTAAACATCTCAAATGGTGCTCTTCAATGTAGATATTTTGCTGGTGAAAGTAAAAAATCATGAATAATTTATAAGCCAAAAAGTATATGATTGGGTTTTTCACTTGAATCTTTTCTCCTTAAGAGCTGATTTTTGTAAGTATCTCTTCTGATTAAGTAACAAGCATTCCTACTTTACTGCACCTAGTCCACAAAACAACTCTTCTAATTTCTGACTAGACGATATAAACACATTTACACAGTTTGAGAATATTGCATTCTCCATTTTCCAACGTTTACTTGTTAAACATCCATCCATGTGCAAAGAATTTTTCCGTTCTGTGCATGGAGTAACAAAAAATGAAATGAAAATCACTTCACTTCAAATGCCTGGTAACTTTACTGTACTGATTAGGAGTGCCTTCCCAGAAAAGAATGTTATCATTCTAAACTTTCATCATATATTACACAAATTTATAGATCCATATTTCATATTATATATATATATAAAAAAATAAATGCTTGACTATATCTTAACGTTTCACAAGTTACCTAAACTGCTACTGTACAAAGGTCTGAAAACATTTACACACGATTGTTTCAAATCAGGACACTCACCAAAAGACTGAAGGCAGGTTTCAATGAGGTTCTCCAGGCTGGCGCCTTTGGCTAAGTGTCCCAAAGGCATCATTATTCTGAACTCAGTAATCTGGGTAGGATTTGAATGGGAGGCACAACGACTGATCTGCTTCAGTTCAAGTGCTGTTTTAGGGGCAGTGCTGCATCCTTGTGCAGGTTTCCTAAAGGAAAGGACAACAGTCAAGTGAGTACAATGAGAGCAAGGCAGTGGCAAATTTCACACAAGCCTCCACTGCAGGTTGGAAAAGGAGGAGAGATTTAAAAGGCAATTAGCTCCCCGGAGTTGGGTTGGTGAAAAACATAACCCTCCCACTTGGCAAATGCACCAAAGAAACCTCTCTTTATCAAATATCTTTAGCCCCGAAAATATGGCTCTTTAGAGCATGGTTATAGAGCTTTTCATTTTTTAAATCTATATATTTCAATCTTAATGTAAACATAATTCCCAAGCAAAGCAACAGGCATTCATATAATCTGACACTTCATCTAAAATCAAACAATGTACATTATAACACTGGGGAAATGTCCCAGTAATGACCATCCAGCCTATGGATATTTACATTTGGGCACTATGATGAAAGTGAATGGATTTAAGCCCGTAGTCAAACCCTGAACAATTCTGGAAGACATTAAAAAAAAACAAAAAAAACTTAAGAAATAATGATAGAGCTCATGCCTGAAATATCAGCATGATTTTACAGTGGAATATTTTATAGTTACATGTTTTGTTTCTCCTCTTAACTGCTCCTGTAAATGTCCACTTATACTGAATTTTTCTTGCTAAGTTACTAATGACTGTATTAACAACCTTATTGGTCAGACTGTCCAAGGTGGCCACTAAAACTGCACCCATAATTCTGCAAGTGCCTATTTTTAGATGTGTATTTTTCACACCAAAAGGTTTTGTAAGTACAAAAAGCTTCTGTGTTTACAAATAACATTTGAGTTTACTTTATTTGTACATACAAATTACAATTTTCATGCAAACATAAGAGATTGAGAAGGCACAAAAATCATAGATAAAATGTGTGCTCAAATTTGCATTTGCAAAGCTGCAGGCACCATTTTGAAATGCCTTTGAAAATATGGCCTGATAGTTCTCTGTCAGTGATCACCGCTCCGTTCAATAAAATGATTAGCTGTTTTAAGGAATGTAAGTTGCACCCCACTGAAACATCTTCTAAGAGAGAATGTTAAAAATCATATGTGGGGTGAATTTTACTGATGGTAGAAGTAACACACAGATGGCATTGCCTGGAACAAAACTTGGTACAGTAAGCAGCAGTGCACATCTCCTTCATGCACAGTTCGAACCCTGCAGTGAAACTCATGTTTTAACCCCTGTAGGTTCAGGTGCAAATATAAAATACTTATTCAATACAGTTTTTCATAACCAAAGCACTTCAGATATTAATTAATGAAATCTAGCAAAGGCCCTGTAAGGTAGGTTTTTAGAGTTAAATTGTTTCTGGTGTAAACCCATTCTCTGTATATTACTGATAAGGAAGACAAGCTACAGGGGGAGTGATTTTAGTGTCAGAGCTGAAAGTAGAATTCAGGCATCCCTGACTCCAGCTCTGTGCTCCAAGGGGAGTTATGCATGCCTAACGAAGAGAATAGTGCCCCCATGCCATAGCTCCAGCAATGACTCTCAATCCTTATCTGCAATTTCTCTGCCATTAGAGTGCTGTGTAGTTCATGACACTCATTTCACATGTCACGTATGACCACACTTGAAGCCAAATCACCAGAAATACAAAGCTAGTGTATGATGGTGCTGCTGATAGAGCAGATGCTAAACACCCCCATCCATTCCTGTTGAAGTTAGAATTCTTCACACAGCCTGTATCAGCTTGTCTCCTATTTTGACTAAATGTTCCTTCCCTTAGCTTTATTGTGTGACCTCATGGTCTCATTTTATGGGTCTAGGTAACAGGAAGGGACCGATCAGCTTACAAGGTGCCCTTTGTCGATTCCCTTCCAACTCCCGTTCAAGCCAGGCTGCTACAGCATTATAATGGCAGTGAAACAAAAGTTACATGCAGCAGGTGTATTATTTTGGCTGGTGCCAAGAACGCACTCAGAACTGAACAGTGCACAAAATAACGACAGTCCCCACCCCACAGAGCTTACAGCATGGCACTTTCTGCTTTCAAAGCAGGGTAGAGAGGGTAACTAATCAATGACATTAGCTGAATTCATCAATTAATTAAAAATATCTCCACTTACAGCAGTTAGCCAGCGTGTAAGGGGAGTGGAAGTGAACAGACTTCTTTTTTTCCACCCTGGATTTCCATTGCAAACTTTTGAAGGGAAAAAGAAATCACAAAGTAATGAATGTCAGCTTGTGGGCTAGCACCCAGCACTAGGCGGTGTTCCCAATGTGAGAGGACTAGCACCAAAGTGATGACTTCTCACACACCGCACTATAGACTAAAGCACGTTACCCCAAAGGGACAGGTGACTAGATTTTTTAGCCAGAATAAGAGATGCCACAGGTTCTGACATTCCTGCAACAGCAACCACAGGGGAGGCAAGATCACTCCAGCAGCATTCCTGCTAGGACACCCCATTTATTACAACTTTCAGGTATTCTCAGTCCACCCCGCTTTTCAAAGCAAGACAAAAGCCCAGCTCCAGCTGGGAAAGTTACAATCAAGATGGGGAAATAGGATCTTTTTACCACCACATTTCCCTCCCCTCTTTCCCCCGGAGTAATTGGGTAGGAAAGCGATGGGCTTTAGACACGCTAATGCAGCAGCCTGGATTTCAATCTTCAGGGCACTGCTTTCCCTTGCAGGTCACTTCATCCCATCCTCCCTGCAAGCGCGGCAGCAAGGCAGCTCTGGCCAAGCCACCGAGGCCCGAGCCCAGCGCGGGCTCTCCGGAACCAGGAGTGGGTCTGGGCGCCCAAGGCACAGGGGCCGCTAACTCTGCCTTTCAGTGCGAGGACAGCGCGCGTGTGGGAGGGAGAGGGGTCCCGGGAACAGCCCCGGCCCATCCATTTGCCCTGCATTCCCTCCCGCCTGTATCTGCCGTCTCTTCACCCCCTCGCGCCGCCAGGGAGCTCCCGCCTGGAGAGGGATCACGAAGCAAAGTCACGGCAAGCTTACGGGTTCTCCTTCCTCTTCCCTAAGGTTCCCATTTCGGAGCCAGGCTCAGCTCTGCCGGGATCACATGGCGAACGGGATCACCAGGAGCAGCGAGGTTTCTGGGGAGCAGCCCTGGGCATTGCATCGCTCCCTCCTCCCCACTCGCTCTGTTTCCACCCCCCGCAGCTTCTCTAGAGAAGCAGTTGCGAGCGGTGCAGCGGCAGCCGCCGCCAGCTGTGACGAATGAGGGCGAAGATCTTATCGCCAGAAGGAAGTGCTGCGCTGCTCTTCTCCGAAGCCACCGCGCTTAACAGGTATGGAACCGCAGCAGACTCCTGCTCGCGCGGGCTCATGGCAGCAGCATGTTCCAGGGCAGGGCTGTGTCTGCAACGCACTTGCTTACCCTGGCGGGCCGAGAGGGCTTCAAAGCCCAGCGGAGTTTCATGCTAACCGGAGAAAGTCATTTTCCATTTTCAGTGGAACACAGTTTTTGGTTTGGTTCGTTTGGGGTTTTTTTAAATGGCTTTTCTTTCGTTCGTTCGTTTCTTTTTTTTTTTTTTTTGCAGAATTTTAGTCACTATGGCAGCCAAAAACTGGTTCCAAAAATGTTCAGGATTTTAACAAAATCCCCAAAAACTTCAAAGAACTTATTCACTGCCAACTAAATTCTGTTAATTTTTGCTGATTCTACACACACACAAATCCTTTCCCAGCCACCTGTATTATAAACCCTGTTCAGACCCTCTATTCCCCCTATCAACTGATAGCATACCCTATCCTCCCTGCACCTCAGCTTCCTCACCTGTAGAATGGGGATAAAGATGCCTGGGCACTTCTATCAGATGTTTTCAGATCTATCTGTTAAGAGATCTCTCTATATACTAAGAATTCTTCTAGTTATTTATATAACACAGTAGATGAGCTTGGAGCTTACAGGCAAGGAAAAAAACAAAAGAGTTGCCCTTCTGCAAGTCAAGGTAAGCAAAAAGCAGAGTGGGGGAGAGGGAAATGGCAGAAGAAATGCCAGATCCAAGGAAGCCCCATGTGGAGACCATGTTCCATTAGAACAGGGGCGGGCAAAATTTTTGGCCTGAGGGCCACATCGGGTTTCTGAAATTGTATGGAGGGCCGGTTCCCCAAACAGCCAGGCGTGGCCTGGCCCCCGCCCCCATCCGACCCCCCGTGCTTCTTGCCCCCTTCCAGTCCCCCCGGGACTCCTGCCCCATCCACCCGCCCCTCCCCCCTGCTCCCTGGCCCCGGACCCCCCACCCCTGACTGCCCCCTGCCGACCCATCCAACTCCTCCTCTCATTCCTCACTGCCCCCCCCCCCGGGACCCCTGCTCCCATTCAACCCGCCTGTTCCCTGCCCTCTGACCGTCCCAACCCCTATCCACACCCCTGTCCCCTGAACACCACCCCGAACTCCACTGCCCTCTATCCAACATCCCCTCCCCCCACTCCCTGCCCCCTTACTGCACTGCCTGGAGCACCGCTGGCTGGCGGCGCTAAAGCTGTGCCGCCCTGAGCACCAGCACAGGCCACCTGGCTGGAGCCAGCCACACCATCGTGCAGCACATAACACCGAGTCAGGCCGCGGCTCCGCAGCCCCATTGCCCAGAGCATTGCGCCAGTGGCGCAGTGAGCTGAGGCTCCGGGGGAGGGGGAACAGCAGGGGAGGGGTCAGTGGCTAGCGTCCCCAGCCGGGAGCTCATGGGCCCGGCAGGAAGGTCCCATGGGCCGTAGTTTGCCCACCTCTGCATTAGAATGATAGGATTAGAAGGGCCCACAAGAGTCATCTAGTCTAACCTCCTGCCAAGATGCAGGATTTGTTGTGTCTAAACCATCTAAGGCAGATGGCTGTCCAGCCTCCTTTTGAAAATCTCCAGCGAAGAAGCTTCCACAACGTCCCTAGGCAGTCTGTTCCATTGTCCTACTGTTTTTACAGTTAGGAAGTTTTTCCTGAGATTCAATCTAAATCTGCTATGCTGTAGTTTGAACCCACTATTTCTTGTCCTGCCCTCTGTGGACAAAGAACTACTTCCATCTTTTTTATGTCAGCCTTTCAAGTATCTGAAGACGGCTATCGTTGTAGGAGCAGCAGTGATCTGTATGTTATGTATAACCTGTATGCTCAAAAGGTCTGTTATGCTTCCCCCCCCCTTTGTCTCCTCTCCCTCTCTGAATACCTGTGAAGTGGCTTTCCCCTCCCCCTCCCTCCTGGAATGCTTGTGGGATGAATGGGCTGGTTGAACAGCTGGAAGATCAGAAGAGCTCCCAGGTAGACAAGGTGTCTGGGACTCTAATTAGGCAGCGATCACACACCCAATGCATGGACACTGCATGGACACTGCCCGAGGTGGAGTGTGACCAACCAGGCACGGCCAAGTCATCTCTAGTCACAGGCCATGAGGAGCAGGTCCTTAAAAGGGGAAGGGGCCATGTGCTCAGGAGTGCACTCAAAAGCTTGTACCTCTCGTGAAGGCCTTTCGCCCCAACCGCCTGGCCAGTGGTTCGCTGCGTTGCATTCCATCATGCCTCGGGAAGACTGACCTTCATCACACCGTCCATTGCTGTGCTGTGGGACACTTACCTTGAAGGATCCTGACATCTCCAGTGCCATGCCTGTCCTGGGAGCGTGAGGAGGCGAGTGTGAATGTGACACCCCCCCACCTTTTGAGCTTAGCTATCAATATAATAAACGTGCTGCTTTCTGCCAAACTCTGGTGGGTCATTAGTCCTCCCTAAGCTTACTAGCTGGCCCAATTTCGGGTAACATTAATGGTGGAGAATGCGGGCAGCTTAGTGAAGAATTTGACCCAAGAGTAGGGGTCCCCTGGTGCCATCCCCCTCCTCTCCCCCCGGTGGTCTCTTGGGTGGGTCTATCTTGAGCCTGCGTGAAAAAGTGGTAGGCTAGCAACCCACTGCAGGGAGAGAAAGACGCCACTGTTGAGTGCCGGTGTAGGGCAAGGGAGAGAATTAAGTGTAAATCCCCTGGTGTCCCCCTCCCCGCCCGGTGGTCTTTTGGGTGGGTCCAGCTCGAACCTGTGTGAAAAGGTGGTAGGCTAGCAACCCACTGCAGGGAGAAAAGGACACTGCTGTTAAGTATGCCACTATGGGGCAAGGGGAAGAAAAAGGCAAAGCAGCCTGAGCGAGAAGACACCTCCCCCTTGGGGAGTGGCGCCTCTGCCTGGGGTGTTGTTAGAATGGCTCCAAAAGAAAGGGGCGGACCCCTGGATCCCAGGGGCTATTCCACCTGGGAGTACAATTCATGAGTTGGAGAAGGAACGGGATATGTGGAATGTGCAGACTCTGACTGCTACCGCCCAGGCGTCTTCCCTCTCTGTAGCCGCAGTACAGGTGGTGGCAGCAGAGGAGGAGCGGGAGTGGGTGGAAGTAGAGAATGCCGCTCTGAGCCAGGCAGTTACCTGCCTGAAAGATCTGGTCCTGGAGGGGTCCGCCCAGGAGAACAGAGTCCGGGGGCCTTATTCAGCCCGGGTCACCGCCATTGGGATGAAAGCCCAGGGGGGTGCGGGACCATATAACGAGTGGGACAGGGATATCTGGTATGATCCGGATCCCCCGGATCCAGACTCCCGGTGGCCGGACCCCAGACACCATGGACAACTCAAACGAGCAGGGTCTGCCGCGGTGGGAGCACTGTGCTAATTTGTTTCTAAGCATCTATCTTTCAGCCTCCAAACCAGAACATCAGGAGAGCTGGTACCAGCTGAAGAGTTATAAAAATACCATGGTTATAGTGTCGCAACAAAGTCTGTGTTCAGTGCTCTGTGTTGCATGTTCTGTGTCTGTCTCTGGTGGGTGTCCTGTGCTAGCATTGGGTCCAGAGAGAGAGGGGATACTACACTTGACAGGGTAAATGCCTTTTCCTCTTTCTACTTCCCTCATCTCCAACCAAATTATCAATCACATCCATCTCTGTCCAAAAGACTTTGGTCCCCAATACATCAGGATTATTTTTGGTTAGGTTCTCTAATAATCATTTTGTCATTAAGTTTTGTTATTGATACTGGTACTCCTACAAATCTTATTTGTTGTGTGTACTTAAGGGCTAAGGTTGACTTTTATTGTTTGATGGCTATTGCAGCATCAAACTTGGGCCTCATTTTATTTGTCAATGTACCCAATTATTGTAATGGTGATGGTTTTACTGTATTCCCAATTATTATTATTGTGATTGTTTGCATTTGTGTTATGTTATATCTGGTGTTAGTCAATTGTAATGGTTTTAGTTATATTCATCTGGTTATGACTGTTTGGTTTGTTTGCAACAGATCACCTGTGTACTACAACGACAACAGCTACTTTAATGATAATAGATCAATGGGCGGAGTGTTGTAGGAGCAGCAGTGATCTGTATGCTATGTATAACCTGTATGCTCAAAAGGTCTGTTATACTCCCCCCCCACTTTTGTCTCCTCTCCCTCTCTGAATACCTGTGAAGTGGCTTTTCCCCTCCCCCTCCCTCCTGGAATGCTTGTGGGATGAATGGGCTGGTTGAACGGCTGGAAGATCAGAAGAGCTCCCAGGTAGACAAGGTGTCTGGGACTCTAATTAGGCAGCACTCACACACCCAATGCATGGACACTGCATGGACACTGCCCGAGGTGGAGTGTGACCAACCAGACGTGGACAAGTCATCTCTAGTCGCAGGCCATGACACTCTGATTAGGCAGCGATCACACACCCAATGCCTGGACACTGCATGGACACTGCCCGAGGTGGAGTTTGACCAACCACACGCGGCCAAGTCATCTCTAGTCGCAGGCCATGAGGAGCAGGTCCTTAAAAGGGGAAGGGGCCATGTGCTCAGGAGTGCACTCACAAGCTTGTACCTCCCGTGAAGTCCTTTTGTCCAGACCGCCTGGCCAGTGGTTCGCTGCGTTGCATTCCATCGTGCCTCGGGAAGACTTACCTTCATCACACCGTCCATCACTGTGCTGTGGGACACTTACCTTGAAGGATTCTGACATCTCCAGTGCCATTCCTGTCCTGGGAGCGTGAGGATGCGAGTGTGAATGTGACCCCCCACAC